AGAGAATCTAAAGAGAGTTGCTTAGAAAGTGACTAGGTAACTAAAAGAGAGTACTCAGAGTAAGAACATAAAACTATGAGATTATCTGATAAGTCTGATCAAGTAAAATATTACTAAGAGGTCAATGGAGAACTTAATTAACAATTATTACAAAGAAAACAGAAAAAAATTCAAAACTAGAAAATTATTCATTTCATGAAGACAAACATGTGTACCAAAAATGAAAAGCAATATAGTGAAAAGCAATACTCAGCTCAGCCATTTGCAATATTAAAGTTGTAGTAATATTCTAAAGCTTGACTGTTAATTTAATCCAGAAGTTGTGAGGATGGAAAAGAGATCCTCATCTACTATAACAGAAAGTAGCTTATAAATTAAGAGATAACACTATAATTTGAAAATATGGATAGAGAGAATTTAAGTGACATCAAAAAGTACCAAAAATTGATTAAATCTAGGGAACAGAACTAACAGGTAGGGAAAGATTAGGAAAAAATAACAATTATTTGGTATTATGTCTTTTGATTTAATTTTTCTTTTATGATGATATGCATGATCTGTAGTTTTAAGATATTTAAGTGTATATTTTCATTTGTCTTCTTTAAGATATGTCATATTTCTTCAACAATATGATTTATGCCTTTACTCTCAAAAACACTCAGCCTCTGTAATATACTTTTTCTCCCATTCTTTTCTGTTGCTTTTCTGGAACATCTCTTGGAAGAGTGCATCTTATTCTGTTCTCCATGACTTTTCATCTCTCTATCACATTTTTTTTCTCATTTCTTCTGTGCTGTATTCTGCATACTATATTACTTAACTCTAGTTTTCAATTAACTAATTCTCTCTTCAACTATGCCTGATCCTTGCCATGATCTGACTTTTCTTCATGATGATGAATCTCTTCCTCATATAATTTTAGTTTTTGACTATGAATTCATCTTCAGTAGGGATTTATTCTGTGTTGTAAAGTATTGTATAAGGCAGTTTTATGTTTGTTTATACCAGGTCTCCCAGGGGTTTTATCAGTCCAGAATCCAGTTTAACATTAATTGCAGTGCTTAAGATTTTCACACTACGTTGACTGTCTAAATTCAAACTTCAAATCTAAATCCACGTGTGGGTTAGGATCTGGGGCTTCAATTTCCCCCACCTGGCACCTCTGGCTAAAGGAACTCTGTTTTCACCTCTGGGGCAGTGAGCTGATTTTTCCCTCCCAGTCCCCCTTTTATCTAAAGGGTGGCAACTTCCAGGGTCCTAATTACATCCAAGGATTTTAATTTCAGCTCCTGCCTCTCAGACCCAAAGCCTGTGATGTAGATCCTGCATGGCTTTGGGTTTATATCCCATCACCTGTCCCCTGGAGTTTGCCACACCCTCGAGGGATTAACCACTGTGGCTATAAATTCTCTCTTGTACTCACACATTTAGGGAATCCTTTTCTATTGTACCTTTTGAACACACACAACTAATTTTTTAAATATTTTTGCTGTTATGTCTTATCCATTATTTTTATGTGGATCTAGTAGGAGGGAGAAGTGCATAGGCCACCATGTTACAGAATCCAAACCGTATAAATTACATTAATAAAAATATTTTTAAAAATTCAGGCATAATAGCATGAATAGTATATTAAAAGTAAGTAATTATGGAAATATCAATTTTTCTGAATAACCCAGCTACTAGAAATTAGGCAAAATGTTACCAAAGTGAGGTAATCAGACTCCTCATGAAATTATTAAAATAAATAAAATTGTAAATCAAGTCAGGTATGAGTCAGTTATAGACAATATTTTGAAAGTATGCTTCATAACTTAAACTTTTACTTTTCCACCAATTCAATCATAAAAAATTTTCTAGAACTGCTCAATTCTTGTTTTAAAAACTATAATTGCCATCAAGTTATATCTTAGCCATTATATGTAGAATCTGAAAAATATAAATAAACCTTCAACCAACCCAAAGAGTATTATCTAGTAGTTCTTGTGTGGTGCCTGAACTAGCAACATAAGTATCACTTGGGATATTATCAGAAATGTAAATTCTCAGACATAACCATATCTTCTGATTCAAAAATCTAAGGTTAAGCTGGGCATGTGAGCTCATCACACCTGCAATCCCAGCACATTCAAAGTGGGAGGATCACTTGAGGCCAGAAGTTCAAGACCAGCCTCGGCACCATAGAGAGAGCCTGGCTCTACACAAATAAATTTTTAAAAAATTAGCCAGGCATGGTGGCATGATCACACTACTGCACTCCACCCTGGCTGATGGAGCTAGACCTCATCTCAAAAAAAGAAAATGTATATGAGAAAAGATCTAAGAAGAAACAAGTATGGGTAACTCTCAAACTGCACAATCAGAGGTAGAGTAATTAGTACTTGGCTATATGAAATACTGTTTCTTACTCCAAGTAATATATTATGTAATGAAGATCATTAGACACCAAAAAGATTAAGCATGGTAACCTCAGAAGCACTTGCAAGATTTATCTGATATGCACAATTTCCCTAGCATGAAATCTTAAAACATTTTTGATAATAAAGTTCTGAAGTATCTAAACTACAAGGATTGGAGTACAAAATATGATCTATGGAGCCCTGAGGGTTCAAGGAAGAAACAAGGGCTGTTGTGGGGGTGGTTCCAACCTTCACTCCCTCCTTCAACCAAAGTGGCTCCACAGATTTAAACAATACTTTTCACTCTGAGACAGGGTTCTACTCTTGAAAAAAAATTTTTGACCTTATAATGACAGGAATCTGATTTTAGGACTTTCAATCATATACCAAAAATCTGTAGGGAATATACAAAAATATCATTAACAACACTGAGTAGAGATGATATTGTCTGGCCTCCAAAATATTGGAAGTTACTTTAGTTGTGATATGAAAACTGACAGACCATAAAGACCTTTTGCAAACTATGAAAATTGTTTAAATACAATTTTACAAAAAGTCCAGACAAATACAAAAACAAAGCTAATATGATTAAAAAATAAGGATGAGAAAACTTCTTCTTCCCCATTAGTCTTCCTCTGCCTGCTCCTTAAAATACCATCCTTCCTCTGAACACACCCCACTCACACATACAAAACAGCCTTTGAAGAAAACACTATGAAAAGGTAAAGCCAAAGTAGTAGAATTATTTTATCAAGATTTAAAAGAGATGGTGGTTTTAAAATGTTCACCATGAAGAAAATCACCACAATAAAATTCATATTCATTTTTTAAAATAAAGAGAATAAAGTAAATAAACTAAAATTTCAATATGCACTATGATGCTTTAAAAATTAGCTGCTGTTTCTCACGGAATCATGAGTTGCCATTATTGGGAAAAGCAGGAAAAGTTCAAGGCAGTGAAATGCTGTTATCTTTAAAACACTATTCCTACATCTAAGAATAAAATGACTTACTACTCCAATGTTATTGATAAACTTCCTTCTCATGTTTAGAATATTAACAGATAGTTTGTTCAAACAAAGACGTTCTGCATGGCTTCTCGTATACTCTTTCACCTCAAAAACCTTACACAACAAAATGTTCCAGAATAGGAAAGGTTTAGGTGATCTATAGCAGGGACAATATGATTAAATAAAATACTGCACCAAGCACTGATACGTTGAAAGTATCTCATTTTCCTTACTCAGCTGTATTTTCAAATATTCATTGAATTGTGAACATATTTCACATACAATGTTCTTCTAAAGTACATGGACAGGATCTGTTCTAACCACAAACAAATGTATCAGAGAGAAAGTTCATTTCACTACTCAAGACGTGAAAAACCGAACAATTTAAATATAATACTTTATGTGAGTCACTTCAGTCCAAAACTCAATTTATTTTAGTTACTTCAGTTCTACTAAAAAACTTACTATTGAAGTTAGCGACCAAACCAAATGTAATGTGTTTGTGTTCTTTGCATATATCCATGAAGACTGGAAAAAATATACAATTAACCTAAGAAATGATACTTCTAGTTTTTAAGGGTTTCAAAATCTATTAAAAAATATTCTTTAGGAGCTGGGCTGAGCCTTCAGATTATCATTTCAGAGTTAAAAGAGTAATGGACATATTATCTTTGACCCTTGTAATCATCAATGTATCAAAGGATTCCTTCCCAATTTTAATTACAAATTGTAATAATATAGCTCTTATAAATCAGACAAATAAACCATACGTGGACACATATATTCCTTTACTTTTTATATTAAGTCTATTATACAAGATGCTGCTTTATTTTTTGTCCAAGGAAAATCTCTACTCAGGTAAGAAAAAAACCCATACTTTGCAAAATTTCGCTATTCACTGTAGAACTTAAGAATGAGACAATAAAACAAAACAGCCAAACATTTAGCTTTAGCAATGCCAGTTTGGAAAAACAATTTCACTATTACACGAAAGAAAACCTTGAACACAATTTTAAAATAGCAATTCAAAAAGTCTGAATGCAAATAAGAATACTCAATAAACATTACAATTTACCATTTTGTATGTCTTATGCTTACAGCATTTTATTTGTGGGCTCTAATATTTTAAAGAAATGACAGAAAGCACTGAGTTATTCCAACTATTCTTTTAAAGAATAAGAGACTAATTTAAAGTAGCAGATCTCCTTTAGTTTCTAACTTCACTAAATTAGGTAGGCAAAGATTTACAAAAGCAGTCATGATATCATTTTCAGAAATATTTTCAATAATGACGATAAATATTTGATAGTTTAACTGATATTTCATGTAATTACAAAACAAAAATATTTTAGAATGAAAAATAATTCATTTCAAAGACATTATCCAAATCTTTGTATATTCAAGATATCATTTTGTTTTTCCTTGTAACTACAAAAAAAACGCAGAATAATCTTTCCTACAAGTAAAATAAATAATAATTTGAAGATAAGATTATGCATAGGATATAGTTTCTGAAGAGACATAATAAAATAATTTATAACATATAATAAAGCAGAACTATAAAATGCCAAAAAAAGGAAATTGCACTTACATCCACAGCTCTTTTAATAAAAGGTATCTGTGTGCCACTGTCCAGATCTTCATTTATAATAAGCCTTCTAGCCCACTGACCTGCCCTGACAACACCACTACCATGAATTAAAACCATCAGTTTCTGTGGATTTGTCAAAGCATCCTCACTCATAAAGATAAAACTCTTTGGTTCACTCTCAGTGGCATCTACCTGTAATTAAAAAATAAAAATAAAAAATAAATAAATGTTTTCTGATAAGGCATACACATAAATGAGAAAAATAATGGTTATTACAAATTATTGAATGGTTATTATAGAATTATAGAAAAACTTTAAAATAAAATTAAAATATTCAGTAGAGATTAACAATTACATATAAGGTGGATGAGCAAGACATGACAATAATTTAAATATAAAATATGAAAAATAATGTAAATATGTCTCCCTATATTATTATATATTAAGTATCATAATGTCATTATAAATAAGAATAAGTAATTTTTTAGTGCTTCCTATAATATGCCACCTGTTTTAAAAACATTATCTTGACCATAATTGTGCAGGGGTTTAAAAAATAAATAAATGAATGATAAAAACATTATCTCATTTAATCACAATCCCATTAAGGTGGTACTACAATTATATTCATTATTATGATATATTCTTATTATTATGAATTATAGATGAAGAAATCAAGGCTTAGAGAGTTTAAATAAGTTGCCCAAGGTTACACAGCTACTAAGTCTATAATTCTATAATGGAAATTACTGCATCTATAATAGAAAACGCAACCCCAATTGGAAAATACACCTATTGAAAAATCATATATTAGCCAGAAATACTATTAATATTAAACTTTTAAGGAAGGAAAGGAAACTATTTAAAAATTCAAAAACCTACTGTTCTATGTAAATGGACTTTAACTCAGATTGTGAATACAGAATTGTACAACAATTATTTTATGAAGCAACATTATTTGTGTATTCAGATAACCTTACTTTATGTGTCAATTACTTATGGAATAAAAAGTCAATATTTTTATATGTTTTGATTGTGCTTAATATTTAGGTTTTTAACTAGATGATGTATGATTTAGATTTGAAAGACACAAAAGCCTTTTAGAAAGGGATAACTTCCCAACTTTTCATTACATATGCCATGACACGCTAAATGGTATTCCACATCAGCAGTACCCAGCAACAGGGAATGGAAGTCTTTGTGTAGCTGGGACAGAGCCAGAAGCTAAAGTTTTGATGGCTTGTAATATACAAAGATAAACTCTATCCACATGCTGTGTAATACAACGGCTCTTCACTGTGTTAGTAGTATATGTTCATACAATTAGCAAAATAAGAAATATGCAAAAACTCCAGATGCCAAAAAAACCCAACCTGGATTCTAAATAATCACGATAATGCCTGGGAGGAGAAAAATAAACTTTTCTATTTCTAAAATAATCACATTGGTCTCAACAATAGATGCTTCAGCATTTGTATAAACAGAACACAAATGGCAATTATTTCAACAAGAACAGCATGGCTACAGGGCTTAAGAAGAAATATCACCTTCTCATAGAAGCCTTCCTTGACTACCCTATTTAAATTCCCTAGTCCCCAAGACTTCCCTATTCCCTTTCCTTGTTTTATTTTCTTCCATAGCATAAACCATGATCTAACATATCGTATGCCTTACTTCTGTTTACATATTTGTTTATTCACTGTTTGCTCCCTCAACTAGTATGTATAATAAGGCAAGAGTTCTTTGTTTTGTATCCATTTATAGTTCCAGTACCTACAACAGAGCCTGGCACATCGTAGACACTCACTAAATAAGGGAATGAATAAACATTTGGAATGAGGAATCATTGCCAGAGATTTCCTTTAGAAAAAAGGCATTTAACTAAATAATGCAATCTCTTAAATGATTATAATACTTGTCTGGTTCAGAAAGCACATATTGAATATTAAACTAACGCATAATTATAAAGAATTTTAAAAGAGCTATACCATGTTGAGAATTAAAATGACATAACGGTAACTTTATTATAAAAATACAGAAAGAGAGGTATGAAATGTAACACAATCACATTAGCTTTACCTGAATGCTAAGTCTAGAATAAGCCAATTATGATGATGACAATGAATGTGACTGAAGCCACATAGGAAGAGAGGTGGATGAGAGATAGGGAAAAACCAAACCTGAGAATACAAATTTCCTTTTACCTAGGAACATTATATGAAAACAGAAGAATCACTCAGTTAAAGAGGTTCAAAAAAGAGAAAATGGTGATAAGAACAAAAGAAAAAATTAAGAGGCAAAGCTGTCAGTGTACAAGAAAAAAGAGGCCACAGGAGTTTTTAGTCATTCAATTACCAAAGAGTACATCTAAACACGCACAAAGTGCCTCTTAAAGTCAGCGAGGCTTTAATGGATCCTGGAATGGCTATGGAAATGGACCTCTACTTACTGTAATGAAAAAACCTGTAGCCATAGACTTTCCAGTAGGTACTGATCACTGTCTCTTTTTTCCTATTTGACTAAGTCCCCTGTTACCAAGAAACTGAGTCAATTTTTTAAGCACTGGAATGTTGCCACTTTGAAGTCTAGAATAATCACTTAAAACTAGAAAAGTACTTATTTTCAGAAGATAAAAATGTACTTTTTATATTATAATGCTGCTCAAGAAATTTTAAGGGGATACAAATTGAGGTAGCCATGAATAAATGAAGAAAAGTTTTACTTGAACATCCAGAAAAGATGACTTTGAAAATATGAGAATATCAGAATATTAAAGAAAAAACAATAATGAAAATGAACAATGTAATATTAATGATTAAGGTGTAAGCAATATTTGAGCTGGTCACTGGCTAATATTCACTTCAATTTAACAAAGAACTGTGATTCTGCACATGGTAACTAGAACTTATTCTATATAAAGACAGTGCTAATTTAAAATAATAAAATATCTATATGAATAAATTTTTATCCATTGACCTAATTAGGTTTGGACATAAGGCTGTTCCAAGGCCATTTATCTTCAAACAGTAATAATCCATTAAAATAAGCTTTCATTAAAGAATATACACAAAGGTCATTCCAGTGTACCACCTCACTTTATTGAGAAATCAACTTCAAACACCATTTGCACCAAACAATTTTAGCAGTTAACAATTTATTTGGGGATACTCATAAACCTCACTAATTGTGATGTTTCACTTAAACATGATATATATACAGTAAACTAAATGAAAATGTGTGGTAAAGCTGTTAATTCATTATCCAATATTCCACATAAGTGTAAGATACTACAATTGAGAATACTTTGTGCCTACTTATATGAGGTGTGGAGTAAACATAAAACACCATCATGATCTTTACCATCAAAACATGGGTTTCCACAAAACACTGACATTTAAAAACAAAGTTTTTCTTTTTAAATAGTTTACATATAAAACTAAAGCTTAGTTCATATCAGGGAAATACAAAGTTTGATGGTATTCTTTTAGTAAAAAGAACAGCTTTTACTAAAAAAACAACAACAACAAAAAAACCCAATCTCACTGCTAAGAGCACTCAGGAGCAAAATCATAACTATCAAAGAAAAATTTCACAAATGTACAAAACATGTGCCAATTTAAGGAGAGAGATTAATTTCATGAGCAAAATTTGGAGTTATTTTTTAAGCTTACAAAATAAGGAAACTTGTATTAACCAAAAATGAGCATGAGGCTTATTTTAAGTCTCATATAAAGTAACTCTCTCTTGCTTATAGCTTTATAGTAGAAATAATCAGGTCTATACAACAAAGTCCTCCCACACCTAATCTTAGGTTTTCTATAAAGAAAATAGTAAAACTTAATCACATAACATGATCTATACAGCCAATTATCTAGTGATTCGTTCTAGAAATCTAGAGACTGAAGTGAGTTTTAGGGTTCCAAGGAACTAAAAGTATTATAATGTTAAAGGACTCAATATTAATTGTTATATAAATGAATTAACCTAAAGTTCTTTAAATATCATTCTTCAGAAACTTTGAAAGAAATAAAATTAACAAGAAAGGAAGACTGGAAAAAGTGTCAACATTTTACCCTCACTTTCAAGAAGACCAAATTTAATACATAGTTTTGATACAGTAAAACACTAGATCTAAAGTCAAAACTAAGACAAAAAGTTTGAATCCAAAAAAGACTGGCATATTAATTTCCAAAAAGGTACTAAAATCTTGGCTTTCATGCATTTCTAAAGAAAGAAAAGTTTACAAATAAACCAAAGGTTGGCCCTAGCTATTACACAGAATAATGTTTTATTCACTAATATGTCATAAGCACTTGGAACAGAGTCCAGCACCTAAAAGACCCTTAATAAATATTTGTTGAATGAATGAATAAATAAATGAATGACTAACAATGTGACCTGGTATTTGAGGTTACCTATAGAAGATTAAATGTGGAGTAGATTTCTTTTTTTTTCAAGAAAATATGAGAGTAGAAACAATTTGGTGGCATTTTATATCTTTGCCTCTCCCTAGCAAGGGTTAGAGGCATGCCCTTCCCCTCCACAATGCTCACTGCATCCCTCAGATGTGGGTCTACCCTCCCAACCCCCGAATCCTTAGTGAACTCCACCACCATTTGAGCACTATAGTGTTAATCAGTCAGTAGCAATTTGATGGCAAGTACATGTGGAGCCCATTCTTCCGATCTTGTGTCATCTCACTATGGATAATGGGCTTAAGCTCAATCCAGGATATTACAAGTGCTAGCTGACTGTCGTTTCTTAAAATTGAGGAATATTCCATTGTAAACATATGCCAAATTTTAATAATCCACTCATGAATCGATAGGCACTTGGGTTGTTTCCACGTCCCTGCAATAGTGAATTGTGCTGCTGTAAATATTTGGGCATAGATGTCTTTATTATAGAATGTCTTATGCTCATTTGGGTTGATGCCTAATAATGCTATTGCTGGATAGAATGGTATTTCTATTTTTAGCTCTTTGAGGTATCGCCAAATTCTTTTCCACAAAGGTTGCACTAATTTGCAGTGCCACCAGCAATGTAAGAGTGTTCCTGTCTCTCCACATCCTCGCCAGCATTTGTTGTTTTGGGATTTTTTGATAGAGGCCAATCTCACTGGGGTTAGGTGATATCTCATTGTGGTTTTGATTTGTATTTCTCTAATGATTAGAGATGTTGAGCATTTTTTTAATATGTTTTCTGGCCATTATTCTGTCTTCTTTGGAAAAATTTCTGTTCATTTCCATTGTCCATTTCTTGATGGGGTTGTTTGGTTTTTTCTTATTAATTTCTTTGAGTTCTAGATAGACTCTTATCAGACCTTTATCAGAAATGTAGAGAGCAAATATTTTCTCCCATTCTATAGCTTGTCTATTTGCTCTAATGACAGTTTCCTTGGCTATGCAGAAGCTTTTGAATTTGATTAGATCCCATTTGTTAATTTTTGTTGCTACGGTGATTGCTTTGGGAGTCTTCTTCAAGAAATCTTTGCCTAGGCCAATGTCAGAAAGGATTTTCCCAACATCTTCTCCTAGGATTCTTAGGGTTTCATGCCTTAGGTTTAAGTCTGTTATCATATTGAGAGGATTTTTGTGAGAGGTGAGAGGTAGGGTTCCAGATTCATTCTTCTGCATATAGCTATCCAGTTTCCCCAGCACCATTTATTGAAAAGAGATTCTTTTCCCCAATGTATATTTTTGTCTGCTTTATCAAAGATTAGATTACCATATGCAGATGGTTTCATCTCTGGAATATCAGTACCTTTCCAAAGATCCATGCCTCTGTTCTTGTGCCAGTCCCAGGCTGATTTAATTATTATTGCTTTATAGTACAGCTTGAAGTCTGGAAGACTGATACCTCCCAGTTTGTTCTTTTTACTTAAGATTGCTTGGGCTATACGAGGTTTTTTCTGGTTCCATACAAAGTGAAGAATTATCTTTTCTAGATCTATAAAGAATGATGATGGTACCTTGATGGGGATTGCATTTATTCTGTAGATGACTTTAGATAATGTTGACATTTTAATGATATTGATTCTACCAATCCATGAACAAGATAGATTTTTCCATCTGTTTACATCTTCTACAATTTCTTTTTTTAGCATTTCATAGTTCTCCTTGTATAAGTGTTTCATATCTTTTGTTAAATATACTCCTAGACATTTAATTTTATTTGAGTTTCAGCTTGACTGTTATTGGCGTATATGAATGCCTCTGATTTGTGTACATTGATTTTGTAACCTGAGACTTTACCGAATTCATTATCAAATCTAGGAGTCTCTTGGATGAACCCATGGGGTTTACTAGATATAATATCATATCATTAGTGAAGAGTGAGAGTTTGATCTCATCTGCACCCACTTGGATACCCTTAATATCCCTCTCTTGCCTGACTGCTATAGCTAGGACTTTGAGCACTATGTTGAACAGAAGAGGAGATAGTGGGCATTCTTGTCTAGTTCTGGTTCGAAGTGGGAATGGTTTCAATTTTTCTCCATTCAGTATGATATTGGCCATGGGTTTGTCATAAATGGACTTGATAATTTTAAGGTATGAACCACCTATGCCTATTTTGTTAAGAGTTTTTATCATAAAGGTGTGTTGGACTTTGTCAAATGCTTTTTCTGCATCTATTGAGAGAATCACATAGTCTTTGTTCTTGTTTTTATTTATGAGGCAAATTGCATTTATAGATTTGCATATGTTGAACCAGCCGTGCATCCCTGGAATAAAGCCCATCTAGTCATGGTGAATTATTTTTTTTATGTGCTGCTTAATTCTGTTTGCTAAAATTTTGTTGAGGATTTTTGCATCTATATTCATGAGGGATATTGGTCTATAATTTTCTTTTTTTGTTGGGTCCTTTCCTGGCTTTGGTATCAAGGTGATATTGGCTTCGTAGAATGAGTTAGGAAGGATACCATCCTTCTCAATGTTGTGGAATAATTTCTGTAGCATAGGTATGAATTCATCTTCGTATGTTTGGTAAAACTCTGAAGTGTAGCCATCTGGTCTGGGACTTTTCCATTTGGGGAGGTTATTAATTACTGCTCCAATTTCTGAGCTTGAGATTGGTCTATTCAGAAATTCTATTACTACCTGGGTGAACTTAGGGAGGTTGTATGTTTCCAGGAATTTGTACATTTCCTCCTTGTTATGTAGTTTTTGGCCATATAGTTTTTTATAGTAATTAAAAATAATGTTTTGTATTTCTGTGGTGTCTGTTGTGACCCCTCCTTTTTCATTTCTTATTGACTTTATTAGAGTCCTTTCCCTTTGAGATTTTGTCAACCTAGCAAGAGGGCTATTAATTTTGTTTATATTTTTAAAAAACCAGAACTATGGAATTAACTGTGGATCAAAAATTACCTATTAGATACAATGTACACTATTCAGGTGACCAGTACACTCAAAGCCCTGACTTCACCACTATACAATTCATCACCTCACCACTTGTATCCCCTAAATCTATTGAAATTTTTTTAAAAAGAAATTCTTAAGCCCTCCAATTTATAATAGAATAAAATTATCCAAGAAATTTTAAAACCTAATGCAAAATTTCATGTAAACAAAATTATCTATATGCAAGTTTTTGTGCCTTAAATTAATTGCTTTCATCAAGTATCCCAGATTCTTTTAAGTCATAAATTCAGAGAATTACCAGGGAGAGCAAAGATCATCTAATCCAGTCTAACCATCATTTTATACATATAATTACTATTTCTTCACTTGAAAGCTTAATATATTGTGTTTGACACTAAAAACAAAAGGGTTTTCTTCTTTTTTTTTTCTTTTGAGAATTTGAGTCTGAGAACAAATCTTAAACTTTTTCATTCTGAAATGGCAAAATGTGCAAAATTCAAAAAACTGTTCTGCCAAAAAGGGAAGGAGCAGTGTTATGAAACAGGAAGCACTAGGAATGAATTTGGGAATGTGTAGAGAAAACAACATATTATGTGTAGAGATAAAACATATTTTAAAAAGTCAAGAAATATTTAAAGAGATAGTGAATGTCTAATGCAACAAAAAGTACTCCGGTTTACTTCAAATAAATATATAAAAATAAATTATTCCAGTGAGAAGAAAAGATAAACCTTTTAATGGTTTCGTCATTTTCAAAAAGAACGGAAATCAATATTTTATCCTTATACAATTAGGATTATTATTTTATAAGAATTATTGTGTACAACATGATGCGGTATACTGACAAACTAAAATGATCTTTATCAATATCAACACACTAAAATATTTACATTTAAACTTATCACAGTTAACCTAAAAGTTTTCTTCTGAATTAAAAACTATTTTATTTAGAAGCAAACATTTTCTTTGGAATAAACATTTTTGAAAAATTGGACTTACTGGAATAGAGATTTTTTTCAAATTACAGTCCTTCTCCAGGAGCTCATATACATACTTCGTGATGATCTAAGTAGGAAAGAAATAACACATTAAGATGCAATGTCATCCATTATCAAAACTGACGTAAATTTTGGTAAATTATTGCTCTGAGTGAATATCTCTTCATCTTGGAATATTTTGATATTACATTAAGAGACTCTTTAGTGATTATCTATAATGGTTTGCTTCCTGCTGCTGTGTGAATAAATATGGATCTTAGTACTAAGAACTAGTACCAGTTAATAAAAATATACAAGATTTTCTCTGTTCAAGTGAATACTCTGACAGTGTATTTTCTCTTTTCAGCATTTCTAGAATCTGTTTCTCCTATAATTTTTCTATAGGTATTACATGTAATATAGTACCTTACTGACTCTAAATCTCAACACCTCTTTTATGTTCAGTTACTGAAGAAGGAAAAGGTCAGAGGTATTCTAAACAGAAAGAAAAAAAAAAAAAACTGAGCCAGAAAAATCTAGAATCAGTCAGTCAGTACTACTGTTTGTGGTAAGCAGAAACATGGTCCCCCAAAAGATGTCCACATCCTAATTCCTGGAACCTGTGAATGTGTTATGTTACATGGTAAAAGAGCCTGACAATACGATTAAGGTTAAGGACCTTAAGATGGGGAGATTATACTGGATTATTTGGGTGGGCCCAATCAAATCACATCAATTTTTAAAACTATAAGATTACAAAAGAATCTTCCACTTTTGTGTCAGAGAGATGCAAAGTAAGAAGTACTCCACTGGTTGTTACTAACTTTCAAGGTAGAGGAAGGAAACCACAAGCCAAGAAATGTGGTAACTTCTAGAAGGTGGGATAAACTTCAGCTTATAGTCAAGTAAGAAAATGTGACTTCAGTCTTACAACTGCAAGGAACTAAATTCTGCCAACAACCCAAATAAGCAATATACAAATTCTCTCCTAGAGCCTAAACGGCCTGTCCACACCTTGATTTTAGTCCATGGGGGCTCAAACGAGACTTATGACCTACAGAATTGTAAAATAATAAATTTGTATTGCCTTAAGCCACTAAAGGTATGGTAATTTTATTGCTGCTGTAGAAAACTAATACACTATTTCTATTAAGGAAGGCAAAGAATGAAGAAATGGACATCTAAAATAAAAGCAAATATTTAACAGGTGGTATTAATGGTCATTTTAAGGAGTGTTTCTACCCCCCACCCAAATGTCTCAAGTCATCTATGCAAAATATCTCAGAGAATAATTTTAGCAGTAAGATAATTAAAAGTCAAATTTTATTAAACAAAACCAAAGAATGATTTTTTTTTTTTTTTTTAGAAAATTAAGATGTCATTTGCTTTGGTTAAAATAGATTCTTTATCCTGCTTTCTTCAAGGAGTCCAAAATTCTTTCTCCTACATATACATTCGTTCATTTTAGAAATAGTATATTAGATGTATACTAGAACAGCTTTATTTTGGCTGGTACTGGTAATTTCAAAACCTACAGTATTATATTAGAACTAAATCTGTTAGTTATTAACTTAAGAGGATTCGTATTAATATATTTCAACATGATAATTACAATTATGTACATTAGACCTTCACCTAAAGGTAGTTGTATTATAGACCTGAAAGAGTGAACTAAAAATATAGGTTCATGTGTATAAAGTTAAATGATGCCCTGCTACTTTAAGAGAAATAGCTTAACTAAATGAGATTAGCTAAAAAGAGTGGTTTAACATTTCTGAAGATTTCCTATATCCTTACATTTAAAGTAATAACAAAATCAATGAAACTTAATTCAGCCCAAACTCTACTACTAAGCAAAATGCTTAAGAGACATAATTTGAGAATTAAACTATTTTGACAAGTCATATCTTACATCAATAGGAAATATATTATAGTTAATTCTCAATGTTTACACTATAGGATAATACAAAATAACTCAAAAATTTAAAAACTGTTTATTTTTGGTTTTGACATACATTATAGGCCTAGTAAGTGTATGTTCTAGAATTTTCACTATATCAAACCAAATAATAAAGCCATATATTAACAGTTGGAGAAATTCTACCTAACTCATCTAATTTGCCTTGCTCTCCAATTCCTGACTGCAGGAAAAAAAAGGGAACCATGTATTTTTTAGGCATTCTCTCTCCTTAGAATGTTCTTCTCAGCCCTAGTCATCCTCCAAGAAACAGATCACATGTCAACTGTTTCAGGTAACTTTTACTACCTCACCCCAATGCTCCAAGGTAGGGCAAAGCATCCCACCTCTGCCCTCCTCTAGACATGGCTGAATATCATTATCTAACACACTAATTTGATATAATTTACCTGTCTGTTACCTGACTGGTCTTACAAAACTATTATTTGGGTATCCTACCTTTATTTCTTTTTGTATTCACAGGACTCTCTGGCCCACTGAAAGTACTTTAAAAACATACATGAATTATCCTCTCTGTCCATCCTGTCTACATCTTTTCAGGGAGATAAGTGTTTCAGAATTTTAAAAACCTTTCTAATTGCAAAATCAAGACTTAGGAGAAGAGCTAACTTCTCGGAGTCAGCAAACAGTAAACAAAGCTTAACTCCTAGCCAGATAAACATAAATCTCACACTAATGACCCATCTACCTTAGTTCCTACATCATGTTAGGCTTTCAACAAAAAAATACCAGGCACGCTAAAAGGCAAAAACAAACAAACAAACAAACAAACAAACAAACAAAAATTCTACAGTCTGAAGAAAAAAACCAAGCATAAGAACCAGACTTAGATATGGCAAAGATATTGGAATTATCAGACTGGGAATTTAAAACAATGACTAATATGCTAAGGGCTTTATTGACAAAAAATGGACAACATACAAAAACAGATGGGTAATATAAGCAAAAACATTGAAACTCTAAGAAACAAAAGGAAATGCTAGACGAAAACTACTGTAACAAAAATGAAGAATGCCTTTGATGAGTTCATCAGTAGACTGGACACAGCAAAGAAAAAAAACAGTGAGCTTGAAAGATAAGTCAATAAAAATGTCCAAAACTTAAATGCAAAGCGAAAAAAAAAAAAAAAGGATGAAAAGACAGAACAGAATATCAGAGAATTGTGGGATTATTACAAAAGGTATGTAAAATATCCAAAACTTAAATACAAAAACGAAAAAAAAAAAAAGGATGAAAAGACAGAACAGAATATCAGAGAATTGTGGGATTATTACAAAAGGTATGTAACTTATACATAACAAGAATACAAGAAGGAAAAGAGAAAGGAACAGAGAAACGGAAGTAATAATGGCTAAGGATTTTCCAAAATTAATGACAGACACAAAATAACAGATCCAGGAAATACAGAGAACATCAAGCATGATAAATACCAAAATACTATACTTAGTCAAAGAGAAACTCTTGGAAGAAGCCGGGGCAAAGGGCAGGAGGCAGGGTAACTTTACCAACATAGGAAGAAAGATAAGAATTACATCAGATTTTCTTAGAAACCATGTAAGAAAGAAGAAAGTAGAGTGAAATACTCAGTTTTGAAAGGAAAAAAAAACACCAATCTAGTCTTCTGTACCCTAGGAAGTTATCCTTCAGAATTGATGGAGAAATAAAGACTTTCTCAGACAAACAGAAATTGAGTGAATTTTTTGTCAGTAGACCTTCCTTGTGAGAAATGTTAAAAGATATTTTAGAGAGAAGAATGGCATAGGTCTGAAATGTGGATCAACATAAAGAAATGTTAGAGAAGAAAGAAATGAAGATAAAATATTTTATTTTGCTTATTCTTAACTGGTCTAACGAGTAACAGTTTGTTCAAAATAATGACAGCAACAATATATTTGGTGATCATAGCTTATAGATGAGCGAAATGAATAACAGCAATGCTATAAGTGTTAAGAAGGAAAAACTGAGAATACTCTGTTATAGGTACTTGTACTACCCATGAGGAGGTCTAGTGTTATTTGAAAGAAACACTGGAGGGAAACATTTACTACACCTGGTAATTTTCCTGGATTTCTTCTGATGCCTAAGAAGCAGCTATATAGACAAAATTAAATAAATCCACAACAGAGGAGATAGGGAAACAATACTGAGATTATATAGTTATGGAATAAATCCCTTGGCTACCAATAGTGTAATGCTCTCTAATGAATTAGAGTTTGATTCAACTTTTTTCTAGATCAGGGTTTTCCATCTAGGGATTAAAGGAAATTGTTAAAAGGAGAGGAAAGGTGACCAAAGAAATAAACCATAGAAATAAAGAAAATGAAGTCTGGTAAAAATAACTTTTCAACAGAGTACTTCTAACAGAAGAGGTACATTTACCCTGCTATAAATTTACTTTTGACATTTCTGGTGTGTGCTTATCATAAACTTCATTCATCTCAGCATTATTTTCGATTCTTACTTAAACAAGAAGCAAACACTGATATCCTTTACTCCAGTAAAAGCACTAAACTTATCCTAGCAGATCATAATTTAAGGGAGCGAAGGAAGGATAACATCAAAAAGCCTTCCAGAATAATACTTCAGACACTTTTAGGACTGAATTTGAGGAATAAAATGAGATGGATATATAATAAGAGATATGAGTGGATAGATATGAAGAGGATTAATATAAATATTTTAATTAAATAAAAACGTAAAGTTTATTTTATTACTAAATGGTCAAGATTTCTTTCTTTCTTACTCTACAGAAAATGTCTCATTAGTAACAAACTAAATTTGGGCTGATCAATTCATAGCAATAACAATTCAACTTTTATTTCACAACTTTATTAACTATGTAAGTTAAAAATTCCTACATTAGGCCCATTATTTGCTATCAAACTGGAACTAACTGAACTAACCAATGAGTACACATGTACATAGAAGAATGGAAAGCAAGCATGGGGGAGGGGCAAAAACCTACCTAATGGGTATAGTGAATGCTACTTGAGTGAGAGGCACACTTATAGCCATGGACACAAGCATCACCAAAGCAAACCATGTAACCAAAAATATTTGTACCACCTTAACACTTTGAAATAAAACAAACTAAAAAACCCCACAATTTT